CTGGGAGGCCATAGTGCTACCCATTGCATGTGCCTTTTAAGTTATTTTGTTAGATTAGTTCTGGCTTTGTCTTTAGTACTGACTAATCTAATGTACATGCTCAAGTATATTGTTGTAAGCGTTCATATAGAAAATATTAAATTACAAGAGAGATCTGTGAGTGGCATACTCATTTTTGCTGAGCATTGTAGCACTGACTATAGCAGCAGTGACCCATGCTTTCATGTTGTTTAGACCAAAATGGACCCTTTCATCGTAGGCAACCTTTTGCCAGTCATCTATTGTACAATTTTAGTGAGATCAATGTTTATTTTGGCTTCAGTTTCCTGATTTTAGCTAACAGACGTGACATTGGTCTGTTCAGCTGCTTCTGTTTCTTCTGCTGCTGCTGCTTCTGCTGCAGTGTTGTGTATTTCATTAATTAATTTTTTTTTCCACTTATTCCCTTTATTAATCAGGGGTCGCCACAGCAGAATGAACCGCCAACTTATCCACCATATGTTTTTATGCAGCGGATGCCCTTCCAGCTGCAACCCATCACTGTCAAGTTAAAATAACAAACAATGTCATCTTTGCATTTAAAATGAGCGAATGACATTTTATAACGGTCGTCATTGACATGCATAAAATTTCATGTGTCATATCATGATTATAAAAGATTAATGACACCCCTAAACACTTAACCATTAACGACAGAACGCAGTATAAGAACTCAAAACATGTTTGCGCTTCTGATTTCAGCTGTCTTTTAATGTAGATGAACAAACTGCATTACACCATTTACAACACATGAGCCTCTGAGAATCTTCAAGTGTTTCTGCTTCTGCAGTTGTTAATTACTAAAAACAATTATTAAACGGTTATTCGCTGCTTAGAGGAAGTGATGTCACAGAGAAAGATGCTGGATGATCCAGAGAGCGCCGTTCATAAACCCGTCTGATTCTGCGTCCACTTTCAACAGAGAGTGATTATTGCCTGGGTACCACAACACTCTGCAAACACACACACACACACACACACACACCGGTAAAACACTGATCCACAGCACTGATACACAGAAGAGCAGCGCGATTCAGACAGCTGGGGATCAATTCTTAATACCATTGATGTCGATATGGCTGCTAATATATATTGCATCTCTACTTATTTTGTTAAGTTAATATTCAGAGCTGTTGGATAATAATAACCGTGCAGCTCTGATAATGAGGGAATGTGGATGTACGCACCTTACGGGGACCTGCAGGTTCTTCAGAGCTCTGTAATATTCAATGCCCTGTTTATTAGGGACTCGCTTGTCATCTTCACCCAGCAGCAGAAGCACTGGAGTCTTCACCTGATCAAACAAAACACATGATCAACTTTATCAATCCCGCGAGAAGCAATTACAGTAGAGCAGCACACTGAAACAAACTATTTACATGGGCTGAATTTAAACAAGCAAATTAAACAGTGTTCAACTTAATTAATCAAAGCTGATAAAGACACAAGACTCAGCCATGTGTGAATGAGCTGAGGTGTACTTATAGTCCTTGTAATCAGTGTAGATGAGCAGCAGCTGTCTGTGTGTGGATGTCCAGATTATAGTCAGCTGCTGGAGGAGTGGATGAGTGCAGAGTGTTCTGGGAGTTGTAGTTCATTCAGAATAAAACTCCAATAGAGAAAACACTGCGGGCGATCACAACAGTAATACTGTAATCAGTGGATAATGCTGCATTTCACTCACCTTGGCAACGTGTTTTATTGGTGACTTGATCAGCATCTGCACCAGAACTGCAGGTTCGAGATACACATCTGGTTTATATTTATATCCAGCTTCCACCGTACACCTGAAGGCAAACACACACACACGTTACTAGTCGTTTCGCACAAAATCGCACAAACCCATACACGCACCCACACACAAACATACACACGCATACAAACACACACACACACACAAACACACACACACGCACCCACACACAAACATACACACGCATACAAACACACACACACACACAATCACACAAACCCATACACGCACCCACACACAAACATACACACGCATACAAACAAACACACACACACACACACAATCACACAAACCTACACTCAAACACACACACAATGGCACGCACCCACACACAAACATGCTCGAGCATACAAACACACACACACACACACACACTCGCACGCACCCACACACAAACATACACACGAATACAAACAAACACACACACAATCGCACAAACCCACACAAGCACCCACACACAAACATACACACGCATACAAACAAACATGCACACATACAGTCACACAAACCCACACACAAACACACACACAATGGCACGCACCCACACACAAACATGTTCACGCATACAAACACACACACACACACACACAATCGCACGCACGTACACACACACACAATCGCACAAACCCACACACAAACATACACACGCATACAAACAAACATGCACACACAAAATCACACAAACAGACACACAATGGCATGCACCCACACACAAACATGCTCACGCATACAAACACAAACACACACACAAATACACACGCGCACACACACACTTACACACAAACACACACGCATACAAACAAACACACACACACACACACACACAAACAAACACACACTCACACACACAAACACACACACACGGAGAGATGCACACACAAACACACACACACACGCACATGCACAAAAACATCTGCAGGTGAATATCTCAGTGCATCAGGATTAGTTCATGCACAATTTAAAGTTCATTCAACAGGGGTTGCCACAGAGGAATGAACCACCAACTATTCCAGCATGTTTTACACAGCGGATGCCTTTCCAGCCGCAACCCAGTATTAGGAAACACCCATACACACTCATACACTACGGCCAGTTTAGTTATTCAGTTTCCCTATAGTGCATGTGTTTGGGCTGAAACCGGAGCACCAGGAGGAAACCCACGCCAACACCGAGAGAACATGCAAACTCCACACAGAAACACAAACACCAATGTTCTGTGCCATTACCAGTCTGGGATGTCTGTGCCCCCCACCATGGATGTCAGATTGATGACTGGATTTCGCGCCACACACGCCTTGTAAAACCCGGGATATTGTCCAATCAGATGACAAGCCAGAAATCCACCGTGAGATCCTCCAATCACAGCCACTTTCTGCTCATCAAAGCCGCCTTGCTTCAAAACACTGTCCACCGCAAACTGACCACAGGACAGCAGACAGGTCCATTAGAACTCAATTATTTTGCTATGAGCCTTTTCTGCACACCAAGGCTGAATTCATTTGATCAAAAGTACAGAAATAAATGATAATAAACACATGAACTCTTTCACAATGGTANAATGACTCCCATCTGAGTGTGTTGTGATATGTGATGTATTCCTGTGCTGTGATGCAGTGTGTACCTGCACGTCTTTTACATCCTGAGTGCCGATGAGTCCTGGTAAGGAGAAGACGTTATCCTGTCCGAAGCCGAGCGAGCCTCTGTAATTCACTAGAGAACACACGCTTATTTATTTTCAACATACATAACGGGACACTGCTGTCTGACTAATGTCAAGTCCATTTTCAGTTTCTCTGTTATTTACATCTCTTATTCATTCATTCATTCATTAACTCTCTCATTCACAGACCCACTCTGTTATTTATTCATTTGCTATCTCTTTCATTTCTTTACACACCCATTCACTCATTTGTTCATTCACTCACTCTCTCATTCAATTTTCATGGACTCAATCTCATTCATTCATTCATTCATTCATTCATTTAGTCTCTCTCTCATTCATTCAATCCTTCACACACTCACCTTCTCATTCATTTACTCTCTCTTTCATTTCTTTGCACATTCATTCACTCATTTATTTATTCACCTATTCTCTCATTCCTTCACAGACTCACTCTCTTATTCAATCATTCATTTTCATTCATTCATTCACTCACTCACTCACTCTCTCTTTCATTCAGTCAGTCACTCACTCTCTCGTTAATTCATTCATTCATTCATTCATTCATTCACTCACTCTCATTCAATCATTCACTTATTCATTAACTCTCTCATTCATTCACACACCCACCATTATTCATTCACACTCTGATTCATTTATTCATTCACACATTCACTCTGTCATGCAATTACTCACTCACTAATTCCTTAACTCTCTCATTCATTCATTCTCTCACTCTCTCATTCATTTATTCACTCACTCACTCACTCACTCACTCTCCCATTAATTCATTTACTCACTCTCTCATTCATTTATTCATTCATTCATTCATTCATTCACTCTCTTATTCATTTATTCACTCACTCATTGATTAACTCTCTCATTCATTAACACACCCAATGTTATTAATTCACACTCTGATTCATTTATTCACTAAAACATTTACTGTCATTCATTCATTCACTTCCTAATTCCTTAACTCTCTCTCATTCATTCATTCTCTCACTCTCTCATTCATTCATTTACTCTCTCATTCATTTATTTATTCTCTCTCATTCTTTTTTAGACACACCCATTCTTTCATTCAACTATTCATTAATTCAATTATTCATTCTGTTTCATTCATTTCTTCAGTCACTCATTCACTCTCTGAGTCATTCATTCACTCACTCTCTCATTCCTTAAACTTATCATTTATCATCTATGATTTTTTTCATTTAAACACCCTCTCTGTTATTTTTTCACTCTCACTCATTCATTTACTCACTCTCTCATTCATTAATTCTCTCATTCATCCATTCTCTCACTCTTTCATTCGTTCATTTACTCTCTCATTCTTTCTTCACACACCCACTCTCTCCTTCATCCATTCGATCATTCACTCTCTCATTCACTTCTTCATACACCCACTCTCTTATTCATTCTTTCATTCATTTCTTCATTCACTCACTTATTCTCATTTATTCGTTCACTCTCATTCATTTATTCATTCAATCTATCATTCTTTCCTTTATTCAACTACTCTCATTCATTCACTTTCTTATTTTTTCCATTTCTCATTTATTTATACATGCTCTCATACATTTATTCACTTACTCACTCACTCATTCATTTACTCACTCATTCATGTTTAATGTCTCCTGTCATTTGTGCACTCTGAGGTGCATGAACGAGTGTTTCATGAGTAAACAAGTGTGTGTAGATGAGCTGATGGAGTTTCTCACCCAGCAGAAGACTGAAGCCCATCTTACACAGAACAGCAGTCGACAAGATCCACTCCGACAGCAGCACTGAGTGAGGCCCGCCTGACACACACACACACACACACACACACAGACACACACATCGACACACAATCA